CCAGGAGTTGGAGGTTGCTGTGAGCAGTGAAGCCATGGCACTCTACCCAGGGGGACAGCTTGAGGCTCTGTCTCAAAAAAAAAAAAAGAGAAAACACTTTCCCTACTACATATATATGTATACACATTCCTAGTTTATCCAATTAGTACAATAACAACAGTAGCACCTATGTAAGTTTATGACATAATGTTTATACGAAGTTTGTACTGCTACAAGAACACAGTAGACACTGAAAAACAAAAGCTATTAGCTGAACTGACCAAAACCAAATCGATGAGAAAAGGCCTGGCTGTAAAATGTGTTCCAGAGAAACCATCTAAGAATTTGTACACATAGAAGACAGATTTTTATGAGGAGTCAGAAGAATGTCAATGCTGACATTGAAAATCCATCTTGGATATATTACCTTACCCCGAAACCAGAAGGTTAAATCCACGGTCCAGACAGAAAGGAGTTTGATTTGAGGGAGAAGGTTCCATTATCATCAAAGCAACTATATAATACCTATTCCTTCACCTCAAAGTTGAAAACTAAAGAAAACCCTAACATAAACAGGGGACTTTAGGTGGTATTAACTTAAGATAGGTTACCAGCTTTAACATGTGTACCACTCTGGTGAAGAATGTTGGTAATGAGGAGACTCTGCATGCTTGGGACGCAGAGGATAGAGGCGAAATCTCTGTACATTCTGCCCTGTTTTGCTGTGAACCTAAAACTGCTATAAAAAATAAAGTCTATTTAGGGCCAGTGTGCTGGCTCATCTCTGTAATCCCGGCACTCTGGGAACCCAAGGCAGGTAGACCGCTTGAGCTGATGGGCTCTAGACCAGGCCGAACAAGAACGAGATGTCTCTAAAAATAGCCAGGTGTTGTGGCAGGCACCTGTAGTCCCAGCTTACAGAGGGTGAGGGAAGAGAATCGTTTGAGCCCAAGAGTTTGAAACTGCTGTGAGCTATGCCATCAGGCACTCTACCTAGGGCAAAAAAGTGAGACTCTGTCTCCAAAGAAAAAGTCTAATTAAAAATAAAAATAGGGGCGGTGCTTGTAGCTCAGTGGGTAGGGCACTGGCCCCATATACTCAGGGTGGTGGGTTTGAACCTAGCCCCAGCCAAACGACAACAACAACAACAAAAATAGCCAGGCACTGTGGCAAGTGCCTATAGTCCTAGCTACTAGGGAGGCTGACACAAGAAAATCGCCTAGGCCCAGGAGTTGGAGGTTGCTGTGAGCTATGACTCCACAGTATTCTACTGAGGGCAATAAAGTGAGACTCTGCCTCTAAAAAAATAAAAAAATAAAAATAGCACCAGGTGCAGTGGCTCACCCTCTAATTCTAGCACTCTGGGAGGCCAAGGTGAGTGGATTGCCTGAGCTCACAGGTTTGAGACCAGCCTGAGCAAAAGCAAGACCCTCGCCTCTAAAAATAGCCAGGCACTGTGGTGGGTGCCTATAGTCCCAGCTACTTGGGAAGCTGAGGCAAGAGAATCACTTGAGCCTAAGAGTTTGAGGTTGCTGTGAGCTATGATGCCACAGAACTCTACCAAGGGCAGCGCCTGTGGCTCAAAGGGGTAGGGTGCAGGCCCCATATGCTAGATGTAGCAGGTTCAAACCCAGCCCCGGCCAAAAACTGCAAAAATAAATAAATAAATAAATAAATAAAAATAAAGGAAGAGATTTAAAAGTTATCCTCCCCTTCCAGCTGGAAGTATATTTCATGGTAACTATACAGCCCTTACTAGTGATGGCAAACTGTTTTTAATAGAAAAACACCAGTGAAAATTGTGGAAATAATAACAGGCTCGGCACCTGTGGCTCAAGTGGCTAAGGCGCCAGCCACATACACCTCTGTGTCAAAAAATAAAAAATAAATAAATAAAAATAAAAATTAAATAAAAAATCATCATTTCACAACTCTCACAAAATAAGTGACTCAGGAAAGAACTGAAAATTGATACTAAAGTGCTCAGGTAAAAGACTGCTGGGGAAGTGGGTACCCACGTGCTGCCAAGTCTCTGCCCACAGGTACTTTGCAGTATGCATCAGTTATAAGGGAAAGTTATTCTACATTGCAGCTTTTTGACCATCACCTCCTTAGTCCAGGGAGCTAACCTAACGTGAAAGCTAACAGGAGAACCTCCCATACTTTCCAATTTGATATCTTATAAAATACATGTTATAACTTTTAAAGCATTCTTGTAAAAATGTTCAACTTTGGTCTAATTAAGCCCTGGATTCAAAGCACTAGGTTATAGGAAACGCAAGACAGAAAAACAGGTTCATCATTATCAGGAAGAAATAATCTGACAAATTCAGAATGAGACTTCTGTAAGTCAACTGGCCTAGGCCCCTTCATAAGTCAATGTCTTGGAGAAGTATGTTCTCTCTGTTAAAAATACAAACAAAATTTATAAAAAAAAATGTTTTGGAGAAAAAAACAGCTAAAAGGGACTGTTATAGATCCAGAACATTCCCTGAGCTTTGGACAATACAGGGAGATCCTAGCTCTAAAAAAAATAAAAAAATAAAAATAAACAAGAAACCACACCGAAGAGATATAACAATGATGAAATGCAAAGTTTGGTTCTTGGTTAGATCCTGTTTCCAACAAACCAGCTTCAAAATCATTAGGCAACAATTGCTGGGGGGAACAAAAAAGAGGCAAACCAGCTGCAAAAGACATTAAAAAATGTTGAGGATAACTGAATAAATGTGAGTATGAAATGACCACTAATAACATTAGAACATTACAGTTACTTTTCTTAGAATAATAGTATGTATAATTAGGAAAATGATTCTTTTAAAAATGAGAGATATAGTGAAGTATCCAAAAGTCTGAATGAAATGTCATGATGCTTACAATTTTGAAATATTTAAGGGAGAAATGATGAGTATATTATAGATATAGGAGTACTTTTGCTATTCTATGTTTGGAGAGTAAAAATACTTAAAAAGAGGCTGAATGGCAGCACCTGTGGCTCAAAGGAGTAGGGCACCAGCCCCATATACTGGAGATGGGGGGTTCAAACCCAGCCTTGGCCCCCCCCCACCCAAAAAAAAAAAAAAGTAAAGGAATCTCAAGGCTGAAAAAAAAAAAAAGTCAGGAGGCTGAGGTTGGGCTTAGTGGCTCACATCTGCAAACCTAGCACTCTGGAAGGCCAAAGCAGGAGGATCCTTTGAGCTCAGAACTTCAAGACCAGCATGAGTAAGAGCAAGACTCTGTCTCTACCAAAAATAAAAAACTAGCCAAGCATTGTGGTGGGCATCTACAGTCCCAGCTACATGGGAGACCGAGGCAGGAGGATGTCTTTAGCCCAAGAGTCTGAGCTTGCTGTGAGCTATGATGCCATGGCACTCCACCCAGGGCAACAGAATGAGACCTTGTCTCCAAAAAAAAAAAAAAAAAAACACACAAAAAGAGTGGCTGAGAGAAGAAACTATTATACATTGGGAAGACTAAAGGTAGTTGTGGAATTAGGAAGTGAAACAAAAAACATCAATTTAAAATGAATGATGACTGTTTTAGGCTATATTTAAAACAGAAACTAATTTGAAATTCACTTGCTTCCCTCAGCGTAAGGTAATTTAATGTACGAAATGCACTTGTACCCTGAATGTTTACTATGCCTTGTGTTGAAGATAAAAGGAAAAAGTTGTGCAAATAAAGGGGAAAACTGAAATTCTCTAAGTCTTTCTGGGTGAGGTTGTTAGGGTAGAAGTCAGTTAGCTTTCTATTAGAGAGGATCTGAACTTACTTAACCAAAGTTATCATGAAAGTTTAACTTCTAATGACACACTGTAAGTCAGAAAAACATCTAATGTTAAATATTTTAAAACACTTCTTACTTACTTGTTTTGTTTGCCTTTCTAAAACTTGAGCTTTTAACCAGGTTTCAACTTCTTCAATTTTCTTTTTATGCACAGCGAGTTCATGCTGAGATAAAAATTTCAAGTTTAAAACAAAACATTTTATTCACGAGTTTCTGGGGTTGCACCTGTGGCTCAAAGGAGTAGGGTGCCAGCCCCATATGCCGAAGGTGGTGGGTTCAAAACCCAGCCCTGGCCAAAAACTGCAAAAAAAAAAGAGTTTCTGGCACATCCGCACATACTAAACTAAACTTTTAATTAAAAAAAAGTAGCAGGCTTGGCACCTATAGCTCAGCAGCTAGGGCACTAGTCACATACACCAGGGCTGGTGGGTTCGAACCCAGCCTGGGCCTGCCAAACAATGGCAACAAAAAAATAGCCAGGCATTGTGGCAGGCACCTGTAGTCCAGCTACTTGGGAGGCTGAGGCAATAGAACAGCTTAAGTCCAAGAGTTGAGGTTGCTGTGAGCTGTGATGCCATGGCATGCTACCAAGGGTGACATAATGAGATTCTATCTCAAAAAAAAAAAAAAGTAATAATAATAATCAATAAAAATAAAAGTAGCAAACCATTAACATGCTTGTAATATTGTAATAAAAATGGCCCTTTTGATTACACTTGGATTTTTTTTTTTTTTTGGCCAGGGCTGGGTTTGAACCCGCCATTTCCAGCATATGGGGCCGGCGCCCTACTCCTTTGAGCCACAGGTGCCGCACTACACTTGGATTTTTATATTACTATAGGAAAATACTATTCTTAAACTGATACCACAATATCACAATTTTGCCAAGTTTGCAATTATAAAATGTTTTCAAATCCAGAAACATATTTTGTGAAGGCAGTATAGAGGGGTATCTCACAGTAGAACCTTCTCCTTATGCTGACCACCTGCTTAAGTTGATCTAATTTTTGTAGACTAGACATGTACCAGATGTATGTATCAGTACAACAGGCCTACTTTCTTACACTGACCACCTCCATATGGTGACCAGCTTGTTACACTCACTTGGGTGGTCAACTTGCAGCAGTTCTATTGTATTATTTAATTTTTTTTTTGCAGTTTTGGCTGGGACTGGGCTTGAACCCACCACCCCCAGTATATGGGGCCAGCGCCCTACTCCTTGAGCCACAGGCACCACCCCGGTTCTATTGTATTTAGTAAAAAAAATATAAAGAGATCAATTGTAGGTTGGGGTTAAATTAAATCTAAAACATAAAACAAATGGTACAACTGTATAACTTCAGAATAACTGTTGAGAAAAATCTAGGCCCTGTAACGTTAAAATTATATTTTTATTGATTTCTTGGTTTTTTCCTAACATTTAGACAGTAAGATTCTATGACTCTGAAAATGTCTATCTTCCTTCCCATCCTTCACATATACCCCACCCAGAAACTAAATTATGTAGACATGTTTCACATAATTAATACCTGAGTTTCTGGTTTATATTTATCCACCCATGGTTCATTTTCAGACAGATATTCTTTTGAATTTTCTAAACTGTATATCTGTTCCACGGAAGATAGCTTTCCTTTTTTTCCAGCTGGAAATCTGCTACTTTCTAATGGGAAAGGTACATTTTTTCTTTTGTGACTTGAATTATTCTCACATAATGATGTGGCAGTAATAGCAGAGATGCTTGTAGTCTCTGAAAAATCATCAAATGATGGGTCTACCCAGTTTGTTACCTGAAAAAAAAGAATCCATGTAAATATAATTTCATTTTTCCCCATGTATTCTCTATATAACTAAACTACTCTGGAAACAAAATATTCATAAACATGTAACATTTAAAATAAAAGAGCAGGATGGCTCTCGCTTATAATCCTAGCACTCTGGGAGGCAGAGTGGATTGCCTGAGCTCATGAGTTTGAGACCAGCACGAGCCACAGCAAGACCCCGTGTCTAAAAATAGCCTGTAGTCCCAGCTACTTGGGAGGTTGAGGCAAGAGAATCACTTGAGCCCAAGAGTTTGAGGTTGCTATAAACTATGACACCATGGCACTCTACCAAGGGCAACAAAGCAAGATTCTGTCTCAAAAAAATAAATTAAAAATAAATAAATAGGCTCAGTGCCTGTGGCTCAAGTCGCTAAGGCGCCAGCCACATACACCTAAGGTGGCCGGTTTGAATCCAGCCCAGGCCCACCAAACAACGACGGCTGCAACCAAAAAATAGCTGGGCGTTGTGGCGGATGCCTGTGGTCCCAGCTACTTGGGAGGCTGAGGCAGGAGACTCGCTTGAGCCCAGGAGTTGGAGGTTGCTATGAGCTGTGATGCAACAGCACTCTACCCAGGGGGGCAGCTTGAGGCTCTGTCTCAAATAAATAAATAAATAAATAGGGCGGTGCCTGTGGCTCAGTGGGTAGGGCACTGGCCCCATATACTGAGGGTGGCGGGTTTGAACCAGCCCCAGCCAGCTAAAACAGCAGTGACAACTGCAACAATAAAAAAATACCCAGGTGTTGTGGTGGGCACCTGTAGTCCCAGGTACTCAGGAGGCTGAGGAAAGAGAATTGCTTAAGCCCAAGAGTTGGAGGTTGCTGTGAGCTGTGATGCCACAGCACTCTACCATGGGTGACAAAGTGAGACTCTGTCTCAAAAAATAAATGAATAAATAAATAAATAAGATAAAAAATGAATAAAACAAAAATCTCACAAATTAGTTTTTGTGGGGTTTCTTTTGTTTGAGATAGGGTCCTGATCTGTTGCCTGGGCAAGAGTACAGCAGGGTCATGACAGCTTACTACAAAACTGAACTCCTGGGCTCAAGTGATCCTCTTGCATCAGCCTCCTGAGTAGCTGGGACCAAAGGGGCACACCCCACCACACCCAGTTAATTTTTAATCTTTTTGTAGAGACAAGGTCTGGCTGTTGCCCAGAATGGATAGAGCAACTATTATTTTTATAAGTGAGGCAGGTTTTCCAGGGAGGATGAGATTGATCACTTAGAAATGCCTAGGAAGAAGAGTAGTGGAACAACAGAGAAGAAAATCAGTGAGTCCAATGTCATGTTCTTCTGGTCTATAGAAACTGCTGACATCTCTGCATTTCTCTCCATTATTTCCTTTTTTTAAAATCCTTTGTATGGGCTGAGCCCAGTGGCTCACACCTTTAATCCGAGGACTCAGGAGGCCAAGACAGGCTCAAGAAATCAAGATCAGCCTGAGCAAGAGCAAGACCCTGTCTCTAAAAAGAGCTGGGTGGGCACTGTGGCAGGTACCTGTAGTCCCAGCTACTCAGGAGACTAAGGCAAGAGAATCACTTGAGCTCAAGAGCTGGAGGTTGCTGTGAGCTGTGATACCATGGTACTCTACCAAGGGTGATAAAGTGAAACTCTGTCTCAAAAAAATAAATACAATTAATAAATAAAATCCTTTGTAAGTATATATAGAGAAAGATGCTGAATTGAGCAATTTTAACCTAAAAACATTCAGGAGTATGGACAAAGTTTTTCTCATAATCAGAAACTGTAAAGTGGATTTCCTTAACTCTCTAACAGTATAAATCAAGAAAAATCTTTTCTCTCTAGTACTTTTCCTGGTAAAATTAAAAAAAAAAAAGAAAGAAAGAAAGAAAGAAAAGAAAAAAGAGAAACCTAGCTTAGCACCTGGCTGTTGAATTTCCTGTTGGACTAACAAAAAAGGAATTAAGATTATATTATTTTTCAAGAATAGTTAGCTACAGCTGTCAGCTATTTATTGTACAATGCTCCTCTCTTGGAGAAAAAGAACCACACAGTAGATTTGAAAGTAGGCCCAGGGGAGGCAATTTGGGGATTATAAGTCATACTTACTCTTCCTTAAGTGAAAGGATTGGGAATATGAGCAGCAATGGGTAAAGAAAGGAAGACTACAACAGACTAGCTATTTCAGTCATAGCTACCCATTTCCTCCTCGTCAAAAGATTATCAGTGATACTATAACTTTAGCCCCTTTCCCCTATATTTTAGAGTACAGAAAAGTAACTTTTGTTATAATAACTTTTGCTAGCAATTCTGACTTGCATATTACTTGTACATTTTATAATTCTTTTTAAGAGTTTCACTATGTCCCCCTTGGTAGAGTGCCATGGTGTCACAGCTCACAGCAACCTCTAGCTCTTGGGCTTAGCTGATTCTCTTGCTTTAGCCTCCCAAGTAGATGGGACTATAGGCACCTGCCACAATACCCAGCTATTTGGGGGGGGGGGGGAGGCTGCTGTTATTGTTGTTTAGCAGGCCCAGGTGGGCTTGAACCTGCCAGCTTCGGTGTATGTGGCCAGTGCCCTACTCACTGAAACATGGGCGCTGAGCCTATATAATTTTTTTTAATAGTTCTTTTTTTTTTTTTTTTGGAGACATAGTCTCACTTTGTCTCCCTTGTTCGAGTGGGCTTAAGCGATTCTCTTGCCTCAGCCTCCCATGTGGCTAGGACCATGGGTGCCTGCCATGACGCCTGGCTGTTTTTAGAGACAGGATCTTGCTTTGGCTCAGGCCAGTCTGGAATTTGTGAGGTCAGGCAATCTACCCGTCTCAGCCTCCCGAAGTGCTAGGATTACAGGCTGGGAACCACCTTGCCTGGCCTTTCCTTACAGTTTGATTTCTTTCATAAATGTGGGCCCCCATCTACTGAAAAGAGAAATGAAAACAGCAAAGTTTAATACATAATTTACTTAAGATCAAAGAAAATTAGAACTACGACTATGGACATAGCTACCGTGCATGAATGAGACTGTCTGACCCTTTTCTTGTTGAGAACTAACACAATGAACCACAAGACTTCTAAGAAGTAAGGCCTGCAGTTAGGCTATACCACCAACAACCACTCATATATTTCTCTCTTCTATGATCTTTCACTCAAAAGAGTTTTTAGCCATTCCTTTGTGACTGGGATTATAAACTCTTTTTATTTTTTTGAGACAGAGTCTCACTATCTCGCCCTTTTTAGAGTGCTATGATGTCACAGCTCACAGCAACCTCAAACTCTTGGGCTTAAGCAATTCTCTTGCCTCACCCTCCTAAGTAGCTAGAACTACAGGTGCCCACCACAATGCCCAGCAATTTTTTTGTTGTTGCAATTGTCATTATTATTTTAGCTGGCCCGGGCCGGGTCTGAAGTGTATATGGCTGGTGCCCTACCTACTGAGCTATGGGTGTGGCACTGTAAACCCTTTTTCCAAATGATGGTTGTGCTTTAGTTGTTTTACAACTTATTACCAAACTTATTTAGATCACTAACTATAAGAGATACTGGGCTCCATTACTTTGATAGCAGTGGTAAGTCATATAGAATATATACAAACATTTAAATTCTTTTTAGGTAGTTATTTTAGTGAATCATACCTTTGTGGAAGACACCTTTGGTTTAAGAAAAGTTTTTGACATTATAACCTTTAATAGTTCCCATCCGTAGTATGCAACGTGTAGTATGTAAAAATATAATTCACCTAAGGAAAAAAAAAACACCAGGAGTCAAGAAAAACTATAAATACTCAATAAATTTAAGTAATCCATATGTACTGATATAATGAACAACATAATAAACTTAAGGTTTGAGAACTAGTCAAAGAGAACACAGTAAATATAGATGATTGAAGAAATCAAATGCTATGATAAATTTTAATTTTAATAGTCCTATTTGTTAAATAATCTATTTATGATGTTATAAAGTTTTCCATATTACTTCATTGTTCTATGTATTAGAGACAAATAGAAAAACTAAACAGTTTCACTTAACCTTTTGTCATGAAGAAAAATTAGACAATTGGCTCGGCGCC